TGCCAACAGGATTTGCCGGAGAATCAGACGTGGGTGTATTTGTTTTTATCACTGCGTAACAAATCAGCACACAATCTAGTGCTTAAAGCAGTAATAAACATTTATCTCTCAGTTTCTGCAGGCAGGAATCCAGGAACGCTTCGCTGGGGCCTGTGGCTCAGGGTCTGTCCTGAGGCCGCAGTCATCTGAGGGTTCGGGTGGGGCTGGAGGATCCACTTCGGTCCTGGCTCATGCACGTGGTGCTGGACGTGGGCAGGAGGCCTCAGCGCCTCCCCGCACGGGCTCTCCACAGAGCTGCTTTTGGCTTCCCCTGACTGAGCCAGGAAAGGAAGGAGCTATTCTCTTCTGATCTGGCCTCGGAGGTCCCACGGGATCATTTTTGACACGTTGCATTCATTAGAAGCGAGTCCCAAGTCTGGCCCACATTCAAGGTGAGGGATGTGAGAGAAAGAGACTCAAGGACGACTCCTGAAGTCTTTGGCCTGAGCCCTTGGAAGGACGGAGCTGCCACCAGCTGCAACGGGAAGACGGGGAGAGGAGGAGCTCGGGGGCCTGTGGGGCCTCTCACCATCGGGTGAAGTTGTCGAGGGGCTTCTTCCAACTCCACCTGCTGCCCACTCTGCTTTGTCTCCCACTTTCCTGGCCTGGCCATCTACTTTCAGACACCTTTGTCCCACTCTTGGTGGACTGTGGTCTTGGCCAGTAGCTCTCAGTCTTGCCTCGGGTGTCCACACTGACTGTTCACTCGCAGGTGCTGGTCCCACAGACCCGGCAGGGGGCTGCGAAAGGCCCAGGATTTCTGCTGCCCAGCAAGCATGGGCAGCGCCGCAGGCCCCGGGACCTGCTCATTTCTGGTGGTTTGCAACAGGTGAAAGAGTCTAAGAGGCCAAAGGGCAGAAAGCCTTCTGCACATTCATGGAAGCTCTGGCCACTAGCCTTGGGGCAGAGTTGAGGGAAACAGAAGCTGGAGTAACACTGATAAGGAAAACCCCCATCTGTTACTTGGCACATCAGCCACCTGAGACCCCCACCCCTCAGGGAAGACCCGCATCAGCATAATGCTAACCTATTACCTGGCCCATCAACTAATCTCTTACCTGGTACATTAGCATAACACTAAATCTACTACCTGGTTCATCAGCATAACACTAAATCTGTTATCTGACGCATCAACTAACCTATTACCTGGGGGGCATTACCCACCTGACACTCTACCCCCCAGACCACCACAACTTAATAAAAGTGGGAAAAATCGTGTAGACGGGGCTCTGAATTTGGTGGCGAGGCCCCTCTGAGCCGGCCGGCGAATAAACTTTGATTCTCCTACTCTCTGTGTGCCGCTTGGTTTGTCCTCAGGACCACTTGCTGTAACAGCATGATGTTACTCAAGCAGCTAAGAACCAGCCTTGACTCTCAAAAAATAATTGTGTTAGGCAGGGCGCAGTGGCTCATATCTGTAATCCTAGCACGCTGGGAGGCTGCAGTGGGAGGATCCCTTGAGACCAGCCTGGGCAAGATGTGGAGAACCCTCATCTCTACAAAATTTTTTAAAATATTAGCCAGGGGTGGTGGTGTGTGTCTGTAGTCCCAGCTACTCGGGAGGCTGAGGCACAAGGATGGCTTGAGCCCAGGAGTTTGAGGTTTCTGTGAGTTTGAGGTTTCTGTGAGCTAGGCTGACACCACCGCACTCTAGCCCAGGCAACAGAGCCAGACTGTGTCTCAAAAAAAAAAAAAAAAGAGAAAATCTAGAAAATACAGAAAAACACAAGGCAGAAAACTAAGCCTATAGTCTGTATGCCAGAGATGACCATTATTCCCAGGTTGCTGTGTTGCATTTCCTTCCAGACTTTTATACACGGATTTTTAAAAATATGGGCACATACTGGGCACGTGGATTTACAAAGTGCATCATTTCATTTAACAGACCACGCGTCTTCAAGATAGTTTCCTTGTGAACGTGTTAAACTCTTCACCTGTTACTAACCAACTCCTACAGTAATATCCTCTGCATTTACTGACCACCTACTGTGTGCCAGATACTATGCTGAGGGCTTCTTATGCTTTCGTCCTTACTATAGCCCTGGGAGGTGGGTAATTTAACAGAGGAGGAAACTGAGGCTCAGAGAGGCCCAACCACTTGCTCAGGGCCACACGTGACATAGGTGGCAGAGTCAAACTTAGGACTGAGTGACGCAGAGTCCTGGCCCTCACCCACAGGTGGCAGGTTCCCTACCCCAGAAAAAGTTTATACTCCAACTACAATTTTTCTTCACTTTAACAGATTCACAGACTTCCCGAAGATTCTACAGATCTCCAAGTTAGATGGGACAGAGAGACCTGGGCTCAAATCCTAGTCCCCCAACCTCTTGGCTGTGTGGCCTGGGACTGGTTAGGACCCCTCTCCGAGGCTTGGTTTCCTCATGGGTGCTCTGCAGCGGGGCTGTGAGGGGTGCATGAAATCACCCAGGCAAGATGCTCAGCCTGGGGCTCTTGATGGCCTCTTCCCGTGAGGTGTCCCCGTGCTGGTACAGGTGAAATGCCGCCCTGAGGTGCTGGCCTCCTGGGCTCCTCTGGCTGTTGGCGGGGAGCACAGGCCAATTTAGGACAGGACAGAAAAGCCCTTTGATGGGTCCCTCTTGATATTACAAATACTCTCCCAAACCTGGAGGATTTTCCAGATAAGGTGTCACCTGAGGCTGTGTACAGAAGTCTGGGATGGCAAGTGGAAAGACAGGGCCACTTAAAACCTGCGCTGGCTTCTGGTTCCTAGGGGTGGGGTTGATGCCTGGCCAGCCTCCCCGCCCAGCTGCTCCCACCTCCCCCTGACACCTACCCGATGCCTGGCGAAGGGCAGATGTCCATCAACATCTGTTAAATGAATGATCAAAAAAAAAAAGTCATATCAAAGACAAAACTCAACCTCAAGTTGGTGCCAGAGGGTCACCTGGGCCTTGGAACCCCCATTTGATCAGTGTATCCTGAGATCTCACAGAGTAAACAGGGCCTGTATTTCACCCCCCTGCCCAGCCCTTGAATCCCCAAAGCTGTCCCAAACTGTCTGTCCTAAAACTAGCCTCCCGAGTAGCTGGGACTACAGACAAACCACCGCACCTGGCCATCTCGTCTAATGTTTATTGAACACCTGCTATGTACCTGGCACTGTGCCTTCAGCCTCAAGACGCGGCTGCAAACACTTTCACATACATCAGGTCTTTTTGGCCCGTTAGACTGTGTCATGGCTTTCCCTCTCCAAATGTCAATCTCTTCCTCTGCAAACTGCATCTGAGGGAGGCCCCTATCATGTAGGGCTCCCCACTCCCGACTGTGAGGCACGCTGTGGCCATGAGCGCTAGCCAGGGTGAGCCAGGCTTTGGAGGGCCTGGAGTTGTTGTACTTCAGGGGTGCAAGAGGACTGCAAAAACAGAAGTCAAAGAGCTCTCAGGGAGGCAGGGGCCCTGAGTGTTTACTAAACTTCATCTCCTTGGTTCCTCCCAACAGCCCTCTGGGCTAGGTGCTGTCATCCCATTTCACAGATAAGAACACCTGAGAAGCAGGTGTCACTCCAGCGTTGGGAAGAACAAGGTGAGGGTATTCAACAGGTGGCAAAAGACAGAACCTAGGGGGAGGGGATCCACCCTGGGCCCAGCCTCTCCTTTCAGAGAAGAGCAGGACAGAGGTAAACAAGCCTTGTTGTTGTGCTCCAGGACAATTGCTACTTTGTTATTCCTGCACTCTCCTCCGCCTTCCTCCTCCACAACCCAGCCCTTGCTCCAGGCTTGGGGGTTTGAGATCCTACCCATCCCTGGGGCTGGCTCCCACCCGCCCCGCAAGAAACTTTCAGGTTTCTCCTTTCTCTCCCGGGGCTTTGGGAGCCGTCTCTACCTAGGCTGCCCACCGCCCATCCCTTTACCCCGCCCCCCGCGGCTGCAGAGTGGGCTGCCCCCCACAGGGCGGGGGAGGGGAGCGGCTGGAGGGCTGGAAGGCTGCAAGGGCGGGGTGGAGGGAGAGCCACGGGCTCCGGTGTTCACATTCGTGAAATAGGCTTAAAAATAGCCAACTCCCAGGCTGCCGGCCTAGAGGGAACACACTTTTATTTTATTTTATACCCTCCTTACCTCTGAAGAGAGATTTGAGACAGAGTGTCACTCTTTTGCCCGGGCTAGAGTGAGTGCCGTGGCGTCAGCCTAGCTCACAGCAACCTCAAACTCCTGGGCTCAAGCGATCCTCCTGCCTCAGCCTCCCGAGTAGCTGGGACTACAAGCATGCGCCACCATGCCTGGCTAATTTTTTCTATATATGTATTTTTAGTTGTCCAGATCATTTCTTTCTATTTTTAGTAGAGACGGGGTCTCGCTCTTGCTCAGGCTGGTCTTGAACTCCTGAGCTCAAACGATCCACCCGCCTCGGCCTCCCAGAGAGCTAGGATTACAGGCGTGAGCCACCGCGCCGGGCCAGAACGCATGTTTGAACGCTGGGTTCACGCTGTCATGTAGCGAGTCATTTTGCCCTCTGAGCCTCAGTTTCCACATGGGTGTAATGGACGTGGAAAGATGCACCCAGCGCTTTGCTAACCCCGTGCTCCGAGGATCCTACACTCCTCACACGGGTTGAGCGTGCCATAGGGCGATCCGTGCGGAGAACTCGGATTATACACCCAGGTTCAGGCGCTGCGCCCACCCACAAACATTCCTCGGGGACCACGGAGTGCACTTCGGGGCTGAGTGTAGGGAAAAGAGCAGCGCGCGGGACAAACACCCTGCAGACCAGCCGGAAGCAGAGAGACAGTAAACAAGTAAACAGACGCACCTGTAACCTTTGTGTGGCCCTTAAGCCCCGGGTCCCAGCTCCGGGGCGGAGGGGCGGCCCCCGGGGCGGGGCGCGGCGCCCGCGGGCAGGGCGGAGCGGGGGCGGGGCAGCCGCTCGGACTCGGCGCCGGCAGACCTGCCGCACACAATACGCCTCCCGCCCGGCTCATCGCCGCCTCTGCCACCGCTGCTGCCACCGCTGCTGCCGCCGCTGCCACCGCGAGGTGAGTCCGGGCCCCCGTCCCCGCCACCATGCGCCGTTCTCTCCAGCCGAAGCCCGGCAGGTAAGCGCACAGGCAGCTGCCCCGGGTGCCGAGCGGCTGCGAGGTTGGGGACCGGTGCCCAGGTTTCACCGCTCTGGCAAGTCGCGGGTGAGTCACTTGCGGGGCGACATCTCGGGACTCTGGCTCCTAAACGTCCCGTCTCTGGCCGGGAGCTCCAGGTCCCTGCCCCGCGAACGTGCCAGCAGCGGACCCCCGAGGGCCTCAGTCTCCCCATCTGGACAATGGGGTGGCCTCTCTGCCTCCCGCCCCGAGGGCCGAATGCTCCACGGCTCCCGCACCGGCCTCCCGCGCGGCCTCGGGGACGGGCTCCGGCCTCGGGGGCGGTGCGGACCGGACCAGAGCGCGGCTGGGCGCCGCCGGCTCAGGGCGCGAACTGCACAGCCGCGGCGTCCCCCAAAGAGAGAAGATGGCGTCGTGCACCTGTCCCCGCCGCGATCCGAGGCTCCCGAGGCGCCGCGCACCCGCGGAAGGGCCGCCTCAGGAAGGCTTCATTGCGGGACGCGGGGAAAGTCCGGAACAGGCGCCGGGCGCAGCCGCCGGCCCGCACCTGCCCACCGCCCTGCACAGGTGCGCCCCGCGGGGCCGGGGTTGGAGCCTGGGCAGCGGCGTCCGGACCTGGTTTGGTCAATCCGGACCCCAGGGCCCGGGCACTCGGGGTGAGAGCGGCCGCGGGGCGCGCTCCCTCGGGCGACCCGGGAGGGGCCAGGCTGCCTGCGGGGCGGGGCGGGAACAAGCCCTGGGGCTCGTCTCACTTTCGTCGTTGTGCTCTGGCTTCTTTGTAAACTGTCCGTTGCTGCTCTCCTTGCTGGAATGAGCCGTCCTGTGGGGTGGGATGTTGTTGTTGTTGTTGGTGCTGCTGTAACATTTTTGTTGTAACATCTTTGTTGTTGCTGCTGTTGTAACAGCCGCGCCTGCTCCGGCCTGGGAGCTCCAGCTCCCCGGGAAGGGACGGTGGGTAGCCTCGTCCTTCCCACATTATTAAGAAGGGGACAGACAGCCCAGCGGGCACCAGGACGGGGAAGTGCTTGGCCTGTGCCTGCCTCCGTGAGCAGGAGGCCTCGTTTCCACACAGAAATGCCGAGGCTGTCTAGCCAGACGCCAAGAGCCCGTTATTGGAAGCTAAGCTGGAACCTCTCCAGGCAGCCAGCTATGCAGACTTGGACAGGCTAGTCTGTCTTTCTGAACCTCAGTTTGTTCATTCTGTAAAATGGGTCCCACTCAAGTTATAGCTTCTCTGGGGTTAACACCTTTATTTCTCCTTAATTTGGGCATGGTTCTGGAGTAAGTTCTCAGGAGTGGCATGTTTTTGGTGTTAGTACTGTTCTGCAGGTCTGTGAATGGTCGCCTGAGGCAGTACCTGGGCCCCCACTCGCCCAGGCCCTCCAAGGAAAGCTGGGCGGATTCCTAACACTGGGACAGGTGTGCACCCCTGGCTGCCCCTCCCACTCTCCTTCACTCATCTTCTGACCCTTTCTTTAGGTTACAGGGCTGTCACTGACTGGTCGATCTGTGGTTTCTTCACAGCCTTGCCGGTGTTAGGTTTACAAGTTTCATTTTTGCTTGTTTTTAGTTTAAAATGTCAAGTGTCTGGGGATTCTGGCCTCTGGGGTGTGGGCTTTCAGCCAATGCCTGAAAACTCAGACCGTCCTTTCTCCTGGTGGTCCATCCATTTAACCAAGCTTCTAAGCTGCCTTCCAGTTGATCTTTTTTTGGTAGGAACAATCTCAGCAGGGAGATTTCTCCAAGCACTGGGGCTACTGTGAGGCCTCCCATGTGCTAGTGTGAGCCCTGAGACAGATCACGGGAGCGATCAACTTAGCCGTGTCCTGACGGGTGTCTGGCTTACCCTTTGCGATCTAGGCTCACTTGCCACTTCCTCTGAGAAGTCTTCCCTGACTACCCTGTCTTGAGGCATAGTTCTCTCTCCCCTCCTATTGCTTCTCTGTCCTTAGACCTTACTCGACTGTCTTAAGGATGCTACGACTGAAATTACCTCATGCATTTGTGTGCTCATGCAGACCTGACAGTTCCATGAGCAAAGGAGCGGCAAACGGCCATCCCTGGTGCTTGTCAGCCTGGGTTGGAGAGAGGGGTTGCATACATGCTGATTATTGTAAGTTTCAGGCAGTTAGGAGGTATAGCATTAAAATGACATCTGGATTCACTGAGCTGCAAAGAAACCAGAGACCACTGCTAACAGTCCAGGTTTTCATTTCGAATCATCTTTCACATACATGGAAGGAGCTCATTGGGGAAGGAAGGTCGTGTTTGCCAGTGAGTCCCGGAGTGACACCACTACAGGCGTGTTTTCCCCCCTCCCTGGAAAGCGCCCTGTTTTTTAGTGAACCTGTTAAGTTCGTAGACAATTCATGGCTTCTTGCTTCCCCTGCTGCGGACTTAGTGGCTCCCGTGAGTCCCACTGCTCTGCTCAGAACAGTTCTGGGCACACTCAGGTTTTGTTGTTGGCGGCCACCGGGAAGCCAGCAGTGGGTCTGGACTGGGTATAGGTGGTCGCCTCCTTGTCTCCCCCTTGTCCTGCCATGGGTTGGCTGGGGCTGGGCCTGGGAGAAACGCAGAGTGTGAGATCACTCCGTGGTCCTCAGCTCCTCGTTGGCCCTGAGGCAGGTAGGAGAGGGGCGGGCACAGGGCAGACAGGGCAGCTGATTTTCCTAGTGTCAATATTAGGATGTGACAATACAAAACACCCTCCGGGCCTGCACTGCAAGGCAAACCTGTTTTTCTGGGGATGGGAGAACTTCGTTACCCAGACCAAGGAAGTGCAGGCCAGGGATCCAGACACAGGAAGAGGGTGTCTGATTTCTGCCTGTTTGGCTGAGGGTCCCTGTGATTTTGGACATTTAAGATGGAAGACTCTTTTTTTACTTTTTGAGACAGAGTCTCACTCTGTCCCCCTGTATAGAGTGCTGTGGCGTCAGCCTAGCTTACAGCAACCTTAAACTCATGGGCTCAAGCGGTCCTCCTGCCTCAGCCTCCCAGGTAGCTGGGACTACAGGCACATGCCATGATGCCAGGCTAATTTTTCTATTTATTTAGTAGAGACAGGGTCTTGCTCTTGCTCAGGCTGGTCTCCAAGTCCTGACCTCAAGTGATCCTCTTGCGTCAGCCTCTCGAGTAGCTGGGACTACAGGTTCATACCACCACCACAGGCTAAATTTTTTTGTTTCTATTTTTAGTTGGCAAGGTAATTATTTTTCTTTTAGTAGAGACAACGAGGTCTCACTCTTGCTGAGGCTGGTCTCGAACTCTGGCCCTCAAGGGATCCTCCCACCTCTGCCTCCCAGAGTGCTAGGATTACAAGCGTGACCACCATGCCCAATTCAAGATAGAAGATTCTTAAAATTTTCTCCCCCAAGAGATGATTTATTGTGTGTCTGTAGCCTGGAGCTAAGAGGCTCTATCTCAAGGTGAGGGCAGAGATCTGCCTGCTCCAGGGAAGCTCTTGTCAATGGAAAAAAAAGGCAAACTCTGTAAAATAATTTTAAAGAGATTTACTCTGAGCCAAATTTGAGGACTGAGACCTGGAGCCACACCCAAGAGGCCTTGAGCAAGTGGACTTGGTGTGGCTGGGTACAGTTTGGTTTTATACATTTTAGGGAGACAGGGGTTACAGGTAAAGTCATAAATCGATACGTGGGAGGCATACATTGGTTCGGCCCGAAAAGGTGGGCCATCTGGCGGGGGGTGGGGTGGGGGGGGCTTACGGGTTATAGGTGGGTTTAAAAATTCTTTGACTTGTAAGTGGTTAAAGACAAAAAGCTTTGTTTAGAGGCTTGGAACGTTTTAAGATATAAGAAGCTGTTAATCCGAGAGAAAGAGATAAGCCTCCTGGTGTATATTTGTTGTGTAAATTGGGGACCTGCAGGTTTGTCTTGAATACCCTTAGGCTTGCTAATGGGTTACAAAGGATGTCTCCAAGAAGGGAGAGGGGCATGATGAGGCATGTCTGGCCTCCCTCCTCCTGGCGGGCAATTTAGTTTTAGCATATTCCTTTGGCCACGAGGGGGTCCATTCAGTCAGCCGGTGGGGGGGGTGAGCCTTAACATTTTATTTTGGTTCACAAGCTGAAATTCCCTCATGCAGACAGTGGTGCGTCATGTGGCCCCAAGGTGGCCAGCCTGGGTGTGCGCCTTTCGTGAGCTCCAGGCTCCCTGAATGACGGCTGTCCCTTAGTGAGCACTTGATGTATACTGTGCATGTAGAATCTCCTCCACGTAGGGCTATAGGGCCACTTGTGCCAGTTGCCGGGGTGGGGGTGGGGGGCTCTCCCTCTCCCTCCTGGCCTTGTATAGAAGGTAACAGCCAGGCCCAGCGAGGGTGTGTGTCTAGTCCAGGGTCCCCCAGCCAAGAATTGCCTGCCATTGTGAGCCCAGCGCCTGTTAACCCCATCTTTCATTCTCACTGTTTTGCTGTGAACTGCCTGGTCCCCTGGGCTGGCCGCCTCCCCCTTTCCACCTTTCACTGGGTCCCTGCTCTGCACTTGGGCCAAGCTCCCGGCCGGCTGGGGCAGACAGACAGGTAAACATTTAAGGAGACCTTGATGGGCCAAGTGCCCAATCCAGGGTTGTTTACCCAAGGTGCTGGGACAACACAGATGAGGAGAAGGTAATTCCGTCCTGGGAGGGCGAGGAGGAAGTGATCTCTGGGTGCTCATGCCTGCCTGGGGATGTTTGGGGCACAGGGAGGGTGTGAGGAGGGATGGGGTTCAAAAGGGCTGGGGGGCCGTCAAAGGGGAGACCCAAACACCTTCAGGAAGGCGGGAGAGCCTGCGGGCCGGGCCGGTTCCCAGGGTGCAGTCCTTAACTTACTCCCAGGCCCAGACATTTCAGAACTTATTTTAAATACATGCCTCTGAAATTTTAACAACTGCAGACCCAGGTGGTGTCTTGACACTTTGTCCTTTGCTAAGGGTGATAAAAAAG